AGTGATTTATATTCAAATTTTATTTCTCAAAACAGTCCAACTTTCAATCAAATTCTACATCCATTATCCATCTACACTTCTTCGTATGCTTTAGTACCATTAAATTTATTTTTCATCTTTCAATTTTTATTTTTTTTCTCTTTCATCACCCTTTCAATTTTCACCATCCCTGTCATTCACTTTTCTTTTTTTTTCTTTCATCAAAATTTGACTATTGAAGAAGTACTAATTATTCAAGTTCGCAACAATTTGTTTAGATCTATCAATTAATCAAGAAATCTCTCAATTGATAAAGGTATTTTTTAATTCATCATTTATGTTGCGAGATTTTGTTTTCAAAATCACACATTATGTTGAATTTTCGGATCGTAAGTATTGAAAATTTTCGTCTTTTTTTTTAATTTTTATGTGAATTTGTTAATACTCATCAAATATTTATATTTCAGATTTTTAGTATTTAAAATAATTTTTGTCGATCTTTTTTTATAATTTGTTTTTATATTTCAAATTTAGTAGAATCTACATTAGCATTTAGGTATTGAGTTGTTTCGCAAAAGTATTTTGAATGTTCTGTAGTTTGTAGTCAAATTTGTTTTTACAAAGTGATAATCTAAAAAAACTGTATTTTGATTATTTAAAATTGTGAATGAATACGAAATCAAAAATAAATTAGTAGGTATAAACATATCATGAGCAGAATAAAATACAAAAACTATTTGACTGATGCAATTAGGATGAATACACATATAAAATAAATAAATAAGCTGTATTTGAGCTATTTATAGTTGAGAATGAATATGAAATCAAAATATAAATACAAAACTTTATGGTATACATTAGGACGAATACATAATCAAATTTAAATACAAACTATTTGGTGTACAAAGTGATATTGGAAATAAGCAAAATAAAATACATATATAAGATGGATTAATACCTGTACCATGTAAACATGAGCATTGTATTTTGAATACTGGAAAATTTCTTAAAAGGATATACATAAACTTCACGACCTTAACATGATAGCCAAATAACTTCATAACATTTCAGACATTTTTAAAGAAAAATTATAATTTCATAACATCAAAATGAGGCCTTAGTAGAATAAAGTACTTCAAATATGATAATGTATGGTAAATAAAGGTGTTCAGAAACAAAAAAATTAAGAAAATTGAATATTGAATTTTTAGAACAATGGTGATAGGCGTGTTTTTTAGAGCATGTTTGAAAAAAGAAGAAAGAGATGGAAGTTGTTGTATTTTGATAAATTGTCAATTAGTTCTTTGTTTTTGAATTTTTGTAATTGATAAGATTTTGAAGCAATTGTTTCTTTTTAATATTTTTTTCTCCCCTTAATTTCTCCTTTTTGTTTTTAACAATTGTTTCTTTTTTAACATTTGGCTTAAGTCATCTACAGCCACTTAAAGTTGTCGATATATTTCATTTAGGCACCTTATCTTAGACTTGTTTCAATTGAACACCTTTTTTAGTTAAAAAAAATACCTATCGAACATATTTTGACAATCAACTAAAAATAAAGATGATGTGTCATACACTCGCGGTTGACATGGCATGGTAGCTAATAAAAAAGAGACATCTGCATTGGGCCCAGAAAAACACAATTAAATAAATAAAAACTATTTTTTGAGAAAAAAAAAATTAAAAAAGAGCAACCTTCCCTTTTCTTCTTCTTCTTCTTCTTAGAACCACTCCCAACCAACCCCAACTTTAAATTCCACTTTTTTTTTACCAAAAGACACAAAATCGAATCACGTTTCCAATAACCATTTTCACTTTGACGTTTTTCCTTTTAATTTGAAATTATATGTTTTTTTTCGATCAACCCACCTACCCCTTTCCTTGAATCTAATTCAATATTGGAAATGATATTTCTTCCAATCACACTTTTTCTTAATCATTAATTAAGATTTGTTAAAATTGAAAAATAATAATAACAAATTTTTGTCCAAAAAAAATCTATTCATATCTTTTTTCATCATAATTAACAGGACTTCGTCAAGATATTTGAAACTTAAATCAACATAAGAAAGAAAAAGGAAAAGCAGAAGAAGAACGATAGAGGGTGAGAGAAAGAGAGAGGTGAGGTGGTGGTGTGTAGTGTAGTGTCCGTATGTAAAAAGATTATGAAAAATGGTGGAAGAATAGTTGCAGCAATATTGGGGAAGAAGATGTATGTTTCTTTTCTTTTTTTTTTTGTTAATTTTTAAAAAAAATTAAATTAGGTGTAAAAGTTAATGAAAAAAAAAGAAAATATATTATTTTTCATAACTTAACGCGCTCAAAGAAAGTGAACTACACATTTTTTGTCATCTCAACATTTTGTGTTTAATGGAAATGATTTTTGAACAAATAAGGTGTTCGATCGGCATATGGATGAATTAAGGTGTCTAAGTGAATTTTGCGGACAACTTTAAGTGGCTGCATATGACTTATGCCTTAACATTTTTACTAAATATTGAAAATGTTGACAATGAATTCTATTAAATGTCAAAATATTGACATTTTGAAAATTTCTCAAAAAAATCCGACTATATTTGAGTTCATTTGATTTCAACTTAAAAAAATAACCCGACATTTTATATATAATTTTTAAAATTTTATTTTGTACGTAAAAATATTTACTTTGGTGTAATTTTTAAATATCTCTTAAAATTATTAGGAATTCATGAACTTTAACTTTTAAATCAATCTCCACTTCATTTAGTCTCTGTTGACAACAATATGAGTGCCAGATTCTGCATGTTTTCTGACACGTGACATTTAACAACTTCCATTAACAAGAATGATATTTTTTGACCCAATATATAGTGTGACAGAAAGGATAAATTTGAGCTTAAATATGAATTATGGGCAAATATGAACTATTTCAGATAGTTTAAGGGTATTTTCAGCTCTTTTCCTTTTAGTCTATGTGGCAATAAAACTCTATTGGCGTGCAATATGACATCCATATGACATTTAACAACTTCCGTGAATAAGAAGAGCACGTTTGACCCAATAGTTTGACAAAAATGATAGTTTTGAGCTGAAATGTAATTTATTATTTTAAGGATAAATGTGAGCTATTTCGGTTAGTTTAAGAATTTTCTACTATATATCAAGGGACAAGGAAGATACACTTAGATATATGTATTTTTTCTACCAGATACACTAAAATAAGGAGAAAGGCGAGCGAGATGGAAATGAGAGACGCGAGCGAGATAGTCATATATATATCTCACATACATAAGAGAATGACGAGCAAGATTAAAGGGAAACGAAGGATGTGAATGAGACTCGTTAGGTGTTTCAGATACATGTGAATTAACTTGGATAAAATATATCCCAGACAAATTACACTTAATTAGACCTCATGTATCTCGAGATACATGTAGCTAGGTGTATATGAACATACAAAATCTGATAAGACTTGTAATATTGTAAATTAGAGTATATATAAATAATTAGCTCCTAAATTATAGTAAGATTTATATAAGTTCCACCTTAATTTATACATATTTACACAAAATTATGGTGAGATTTATATAAGTTCCACTTTAATTTATACATAGTTACACATTATTTTATTTGTTTTTCTACCGTGTTTTTACGAGATTGGTATCAAATACACCTAACTTATGTCAATTATGAAGTATTAGGCTAATTTTTGCCTTTATCGTGGAGTATAGGTGTTTTTGGACAAAAATACAATGAAATTGAAGAAACTGGCCAAATGAGCTAAATAGGGGTGTACAAAATTGAATCGAAAATTAAATTAAATCGTAAATCAAATTAAAATGAAAAAAATATACAATAATAATTACAATAGTAGTAGTAGTAGTAATAATAATAATAATAATAATAATAACAATAACAATAACACTTATAATAACAATAATAATAATAACAATACATGTATTATGAATGTGTGAATTAAATTATTTAAAGATGAATGTATCATTTTAAAAGACCACAAAGCTTTTGAATAGTTACTTTTTATACAATCTCGTCACATTTTCACTCTTTCAATTCATTGGTAATTAATTAAGGGCAACTTTCACATATAGCAAACAAAAAATTCATATTTGTATGCTATAACAAAGTTTGTATAATTACGCTCCATAGCAAACATAAAACTGTATAATTTGCTATACATATACAATTGTATAATTCGCTGGCCTAAATTGTATAATTCGTGGCCTATTTCGCTGCAATTGTATAATTCGCTATCCTATTTCACTGCAATTGTATAATGCACAATTGTATAATTCGCTGCCTATTTCGTTGCAATACTTTTATAAAATTTGTTTTGCATACAATTGAATCGAATTAAAATGTATGTATATTGCATAATTATAAGTGTATAGCAAGAAGATATATATTTTTCTCTCGCTTTATACAAAACAGAAACACAATATATTCCCTTCGGTTGTATAAAGCTAGAGAAAATTGTATTTCCCTGCAATTGTATAATTCGTTGGCCTTTTTCTCTGCAATATTAGTATAAAATTTGCATTTGTCTACAATTAAATTGAAGTAAAATGTTTGTTAATTGTATAATAAAGTGTATAACACGAAGATATATGTTTTTGTAAGTGTATATACAATTTTCTCTCGCTTTATACAAAACAGAAACAGAATTTATACACTTTTGTGTATAAAGGAGAGAGGCGAGCAGAGGGAGAGTGGCGAGTGAGAATGGGAGAGTGGCGAGTGAGATTTTTGGGAGAGAGGCGCCTGACAAACTTTGGCTAACGTTTGCTATGGAGCACAATTAAATCAAACTCTAGCTACTCCATTTATTTTAGGTTATTAATTTGCTATTATATACAATTTTCTCATTAATTAATCAATGCTAATACATATATTAAAGGTTGAATATAACTTCATATTAATTTTGCAAAATTATTACCAAAGAATTCGGTGTCTTGTCCTATGATCTAAGTCAATTAGCAACTAGCAAAATTAAATTCTTAAAGAAAAAGTAAAAACTAAAAGTATAAAACAAAACTAAATAAGTACTTCGATATAACAAGGTAACATAATTCAAAATACTTAAATTCTACAGTAATTCTATAAAATATAAAATAAAAAGCTCAGCCAAAAACTTTTAAATCGCTGATCCTAATCAAACAAGCTAAACATGGCTTCATCATCACTCTCTTCTTTTGCTTCCGCCTGAAAACATACAAACAACACAATAATGAGATATTATGCTTACAATAAGTTAAGACACCTTTGAAAAAATATATCTATTTTAGAAGCACGTTTAAAAAGTTTGATCAAACACTAACTGAACTGTTTTGACGAGTAGAGATATCAATAATATAGAAATCAAAGTATACCTTCTTCTTGTCATCGACGGAAGGTGCAGTGGAAGCATCGTTATCAGTAGTTGTTGAAGGAGGAGTGGCAACATCATTGTTACAAGTTGGAGTTCCGACGTTCATAATCAGTTCATCGATGTTTCTCTTCTGACAAAGTTTTGCGAAAAGACTTGGCCAGTACGATTCCACCTTTAAATTTGATGCTTTAATAAGTGTACCAATTCTCTCCGCCTACACAAATAATAAATCGTTCAATAAGCAAATTTAAATTTGATGAGTTTAGTTTAAATTATGAAATCACGAGAAAGGAGAAAATACATTACATTGATAGGAATATCATCATCGTGAAGGATTAAACAAGCGTAAGTACAAGCAAGTTCATCGATTGAAGACATATTTTTCTTTTCTAGGACTCAACTTTTAACAAATATGCAGAAATTATATTTTTGATCTCTGAAATTTTTTGTGTGGAATTTAATATTTCTGAGGATTATTTATAGAATAAAATTTATACTACCCAATCCTATTTCAATTTGGTTTTAATGGCCAACCAAAAATACTATATTTATTTTAAGGAAAAAAAGGTATCCGATTTCACATAGGTAAAGAAATTAATTTCTTTTTTTAATTTATTATTTGGGAAGAAACAAGGATTTGTGGTATTAGCTTAGAAATACACAAGAAAAAAAAAAGATTTCTTCATTTAATAAACATATAAAAAAAGCCTATGCCAAAACTATGCCGGTTTATACAGATATGAATATTTGTAAAAGGGGTAAATTTTATAATTGGTCACTCAATTTAGAATTTACTGCACAAAAATAAATATTTTTGATTATACAAAAAATTATAATATCGGGTTTGGTTTGGCTAGGATTGACTTTTTTTTAGTAAGAAGCAAATCAAGTATTATTACCAATATCAAACCAACCCATTGATTATTTTTTTTCAATTTGACACAATTCATTTTCTATTCAATTCCTATTTTCACTATCACACAAAAGTCAATTCAACTCTAGAGTTCATATATAATAACAAAAAAACTATTTTTTAAATTTATTTATGGAAAAATTGTATGAAATAGCAAATTATTAATTTTAGTTAAATGTTATAGTCATAGTTTATTTTATTTGTAACTCATAACAAACATTTCATTGTTTTTTTTGTCATCTGGTTTGATATATAATTAAATTTCTGATATATAATTGCTCATTCGGTATATAAATGTATAAAATGTGTTTTCGTTTGTATAAAGCGATAGAAAAGTGTATATACAAATACAAATACATATGTTTTCGTCTTATATACTTATAATTATACAAATACAGATCTTATTATATAATTAAAATGTATGAATAAATTTATACAAAATTGAATAATTTGTATAAAACTGCATGTATCTAGTAATCGCACAAATAAAAAGTTCCATATCAAACATAAAATATGCTTTGGTACGCAATTATGCAAACTATAATTATACCTTACAAACATAATTTTTATGTTTCATATGTGTGAAATGCTTCTTTTTTAATCATATAAAAGTCAATCAACTTTATTTAGTGAATTCGATAAATATATATTTTTAATTAGCAAACGATTTGTTCTTATAGCATCATGAAATTCAATGGAGAAAATACAAATTCTATGACCTTGATATGATTACTTCAAAATAACAATATAAAGATTAATTTTGTAAACCACACGAAAGAGGTCTACTAATTGTTTTATGTCATATCATATTTATTATTCAAAAAATATAAAATTTAGGTGATTTTTTCCTTCAATTGCTTAATTTGAATTTGACACAATTCGTGCTTAATTAATGCAACGTATAATGATTACGTCGTAATAGGGGTGCATATCGATCGGTTCGGTTCGGTTTTGAACATTATCGGTTTTGCTTATCGGTTATCGGTTTTTAGACTAGCTAAACCGTTAAAGAACCATTAAGTTATCGGTTAATCGGTTATCGACCCTTATCGGTTCGGTTATCGGGTTAACCGTTAACATATCACACATTTTTTAAAAATAAAAATCACATGAAGAACAGGCAAAAGGTCCTGCAACGGTGCAACTAAAGTGACAACATACTAATTACTAAAGCATACTAAAGTGACAGAATACTAGCAAACACTTACACTGCCTTTCTTTTACTTGCTAAAGCACAAAGTCACACAGACACACACTAAAACACAAACAAAATAGTACATGATTCAATATTCATCACAACCTTTTATACATGAGACAAGTCCTTGAAACTGAAAGATCTCAAAATGAGTTCACACTTCACAGTAAGGCTATCACTATCAGTAATTCAATATGCATTTATGCTCAGTGCTCACCCAACTCTCAGCAGTCTGCACAACACAACATTTTCTACTAGAAAACACTCGACACAACAGCCACAACAGTCAACAAATCCCCAACAGCTCACACAGGCGCAATCAAAATTTCAAAAATTCAAAATAGCAGTCACACAAACTGAAAATTTAGTCCAAACATAGTACTAATATTTCACATTCAAGTAAACAAAATAATAGCTAGCAATCAATTCTTGCAAGTTAACGATTCTGGTTTCTTGTTTCCAAACAATGTTTAACATGATTTCTTAAGGAGGCAGTTCCATTATAGTGCGAATGATAATAAGCGACACGACCACAATGAATACATTTCACTGTCCACGATCCATCTTCTTTTTCTTCAAGTTTTTCATAGTGATTCCAAATAGGTGATCGAGAATTAGAACCATGAAGTTGAGGCATGATGAAATCTGATGAACAAAGAAACAGAGAAAGCATTAGATATTTTAATGATTAAAATGAAAGATTGGTCAAGATAAAGTGATAAACTGATACAGAACACCAAATTCTACTGGGAGCTTTTCACAAATATTTGTATCAACCATAATATAACATATTCATTACTCATTAGTCATTAGTCATCAGAAAAGAGAAGTCAATCATAAATCATGCATAAAGACAAGATAATAAATAACACATGTATGATGTAATATAAGAGACCACCTCAATAGTAAGACATCTACCTTCCTTTTTCTTTAGTAGAGTTAGTGAAGGAAACCTCCAATTTTACACGTCATCAATGCAAAGTTCGTTTCCAAGTTTTGCCAAATCTAAAGACAAATATAACAAGTCAAGGCTTAAGACTTAAAAAATAAAAATATAGAATAAACTAGTCACAGTTTTACATCAATGAGGTTCTTTTTTTACCTTCTTCAAGTTGCTCAAGAAAATCTAAATCTTCCTCAATACTTATGGGTTGTGGCTTACTTCGAAGCCAATCTTGAAGGCACACTACAGCTTGTACCAATTTAGGA